TTCCACCGCTCACACGGTACAGCTCACTAAGAACAGCAAAACTCCTAAAGGTAAGCTTAGGCCCAAAAGCTACTGTTTTCGAAAATTGATATTTCTTCTATTGTTTTGCACTTGTTATTGCTTAAGTAAGCTTTTAATTTCGTAGAGTAGTTTTGTGTTGCGCTTTAATATTAATAATTTATACAGCATGAAATTCAAATTCTTACATGTACATCTCGCACGTGCCCGCCGTTGTTTTGAGCAACAAGGTTCCGAGAATGACGTTTGTCAGAGATTATACCTTATAAACTGAAGTTTCAAAGCCTCAAAAATCCTCTCAGACAATACTGTGCTGCAAAATGCTCAGAGAATAAAAGGTGCTAAAATTGTTGATTTTAAAAAACACAAAGGGGCGCCATCTAATATGCATAAATGTTGCACGTGGAAGCTAAACTTCTGTAAACTCGTTGGAGTGTCATTTTGCTAGAACGTGAGCTGTAAAATATTGTTCAATTTGTATAAAAAATAATTGGGAATTATCATTTGACAGATGTTGAGTTAGAATTCTATGAGTTACATGTAACACAATTTATTAGAATGTTTGCTCTGTACTAATTTTGTATCTAACAATTAGACTACAAGCCCGAGTTTTTATGAGCGAATAGTCAACAAGGTGTAGCCAAGTTGATTTGCGCTCATAGAAACCGAGAGCCAGTAGTCTAATTATTTTGTTATAGTAGTGTAGAACTTCCAAAGGATTACAGCACAAAACCTACGATTTCAGTTAAGCTTGAAATTAAGAATAATGTTCAGTTTCAAGAGCAGCATGTGCGTGATTGTTGTCTATCAGTATTTATAGTTCACCACTCAATTTTCTACAATTCCTATTGGTTGAAATTGATCACGTGACATGATAGTGTTCATCAGCAGAGGGACACTATCTGCCCATAGTGCCCATCCGAGCAAAATACCAGTATGGATAGTACTCAATGTTGAAAATTTCTCCAGAAACAAACAGACGCATAAAAATTGAAAGGCACAGTTTGTTTGGTTTTTATCTGTTTTCTTCCTCAAGTTTTACATAAGCATGAAAACACATCAAAGCAATGGGTTTAAAAATATTCTGTACATGAGGTTCAGAGCCACCCTAAATTTTCGAAACCACTGGTCTCATATCATTGCATCAGTAAGTACTGGGATGTCCTGCTTCCAGAAATGAGACAATTCATGGCACTTGTCTCTCCCATAAACACCTTTCTTATCGTGCACCACTGTCATCTTGGAAAGTTTGTAACAGATGACAAAATATGTTGCAATGACTGTTGCACTCTTATGTCATGTTGTGTGCAGTAGAAATGCACAGTTTTTCTGATATATATATTTTTTTGTCAGACCAAGGACAGACTGGATAAACAAGACAAGATGCAACAAAAAATCTAATGAAGCAAGGGAGCTTTAGAATTGTTGATGGATTGAATGTCTAAATGCAGCATTTTTAACTACAAGAAGCCATAGCAGTCACCTTGACTGACAAGGAAAATATGGTGATTTTCATGCGCTTTAGGAAGGCGTGGTTACCATAATGGTTAGTGCCCTGGACCCTGGATTGATCAGCCCAGGTTATAGCCCTGATTGGGAACATTGTGTTGTGTTCTTGAGCAAGACATTTCACTCTTACAGTGCCTCTCTCTACCCAGGGGAACATTGTATATAAATTAGCTCTGGCAAAGTTAATGCTAGGGGTTAACCCTGCGATGAAACTTTCGTCTTTCTCTAACACATCACTATCCAGTGCACAAGTCTTGACAAAACAAACCGTGCTATCCGCTGGAAAGTGATTCATCCGCTTGAGAGCATTATCCACCTTTTGAACAACCTGGGCCTGGTTGAAGTTAATGAAGTGTTCTTGTTTCTAACATTTGTTAAATCTGCTTCAGATCTGGATGGACAGTGGACAAACCTTGATAGACAGTGGAGAAATGTTGAAGGACAGTGGAAAGCCCAAAATGTGCAGACCCTTGCCCAGCAGGTAACTCAATGCTTATTTTGTAACCTACTTTGCCAGACATTCCTTATCAAATTGTTAGCTGGGAAGAATCCCCTGATGGCTCATGTTGAGTGCTTTGGAACAACTAACTACTGGCATATTTATTATTAATAAATTATTGTAAGCACATTACGATTTTTAGAGCAGTTTTCAATTGAGTGTCGTAAAACCAAAACCAAAATAATCACTCTAGCCAATCACAAAGGACACAGACAATCCAATGAACCAATCAAAACTCGAAGAAATTACATGTAGCTGATGCAAAGGGTGGGAAAACAAGTGTGAGTGTGTCACAATTGGTTTTGGTTTTACTTCTGATTGGACGAAAAAGTGGCACAAGTTCTTTAAGCCAATCGTATCGCATAGTTGATGCAAAACCAATTCCTTTTCGACAGTCAAATGAAAACTGCTCTAAATGCACTTTTATTATTTTATTACTCTCCTACAATACAAAAAGTAGTTGTTGCTAAGTGTGGAACACATGCTAATATGACTTCAAAGCTGTCCATTCAACCAAGGAATCTTTGGTAAACAGTGTTCAGTTTGAAATTTTAAGAATTCACGATTGAATCCAAAAACAGATTTTGCATTTCTGTACTAAACAGATTAATCCAAGACCACTTGGATCATGGCGCATCAATTGAAAGAAACCATTTAGAATCCACTCTGAGCAAGGAATCAGTTCCTTTCTGAATTAACAAAATTCAATCAATTTTGGTTTAGTGTACAGCTATGAATTTGTCATTATTTTTCATAAAATTCATAACTTTCATTGTTCCTGGAGCTTCCGAATTCTCTTGCACCTGAATAATTTTGCAAGCTTTGCTACAAACAAGTGAATTGATCAAGAAACCAAAACAGACTGGTATGTACTTGTATGCAATGTTTTCGGCCATGAGAGACCAAGTTTGTATCCAAGACCAGTTGTCCTATAAAATCTAATTAAAATTTTCTCCCTTCGTCAAGCGCAAAAACTGCAAATTTAAGCTCCGTTCAATCCTTGTCATTACTCCTTATGACACCAATTTTAAAGTTTAAAAAGCACTAAAAAGTGTAGCAACACCACTAAAGGCTAATCTAATTTTGGGGGTTACAGTCAAACTTTGATTATCCCAACTCGTGGGACCAAGGTAAATAGCAAAATGATTTTGAAATCAAGAGTCTGAACAATCAAAAATTATATGAATGATAATGAGACAAAAGTAAAACCAAGTAAATTTTAAAAGCAGTACATGTGTTAATAACACCAAAACAACTTTGAGCTAATTGGATTATAATTCCGTAGTGTTAAATTCACTTTTTCACTTTTGATACATGAGAGTGCTGTTTTTTGGTCTGCAAAACCAAAACAAATCGTAAATAAAACATCTATCTTTCTTGGTGTCTAGAGCGATTCCACAATAATTTATCACTTTGGTTGTTTCATCAGAGGATGCTAGACAGCTGAGGTCATTGCAAGACAGCATGGACTTTGGAGAGACTAGAAAAAACCAAGAGAAGACAACAAGATGGTTTAAGTTGATTGTGTATAATTTAAATTTTTTTTTTTTTTTGGCTCAGCCCGGGAGGCCTTTGAATGTGGGGTACAGCTGGCCCGGGGTTTTCCTCCTAGGGGCAAGTTGATGTACGGGGAGGTTTTTCACCCAGCAGTTGTTCCACAACCCCTGTTCAGGTTACAGGTGTAGTTGGTTATTTTTTTAGCTTGATAGACTCTTGGCTAACTGCTTGCATTGGTTTTGAGCAAGTCAACCCGATGAATTCTAAAACATGTACATTCACTAACTTATAAGAACAAACAACTCTCAACTGATGCTAATTACTACATGGCTTGTACTTGTTTTTTATCCTGCAAGTGACTTTTCAATACCTTAACAAAGTGATAGACAATTAACTGTGACTTCAAACAGAACCTATTGTATACACACTTAACTAACAGTGGATGGGCTGAATCTGACAACAACAACTACTTACAAGTAATACATACAGATGACTTATTCATGATCTCAACAAACCAGCCAACAAACTTTTACTTCAAATAGCAGACCCAACACAAACTTGACTTACAATAGATGGTCTGAAACTGACACCAACAACTACTGACACCTTACAAATGATTTATTCGTGACCTCAACAAACCAACCAACAAACATGAACTTAAAACAGAACCAGTACAAACTTGACTAACAATAGATGGATTGAGACTGACATCATCTGACACCAAGGTCTACTAGCTTACACCTTACAATAATTATTCATGACCTCAACAAACCTAAAAGCTACTTGTGACTTCAGAACTTCAGTGTAGGATAATAAATTACAAGACTGTTATTGACACTGCCAGATACCACTGACTGCTTCCATGATTGCCACATAAGGGGTCCTCTGGATTTCAAGTGATAGGATAATCAAAGGATTTTTTTTGTATTGGAAATTTTTGATTCTGGGAGATTTTTGGGTGGGAAAATTTTGACAAGTATTTTTGGGGTGACTTGATTAAGTAGGGATTTGTTTAGAGTATTCAAAGTAATCGGAAGATTCATGGTACTGCCCCAGCGGCATAGTTCTGCAAATGAAGTACAACCAATAGTAGATGTTCTTGGGTGTCCCTAGTGAAATTGCAATTTAAAAGTAGATTTAAAAATCTATTTACAATAAAGAAAGGTTGTACTTTTTCTCCTTTTCAACTGGCAAATTTTGTTTGAGGAAAAGATAAATTCAGATGAATTGGTGAATAAACAAACACAAAGTAACATAAATTTCTAATTTTTTTTGTTTGTTTGTTCTGTTTTTTATTTTTTTTAAATTTTTTTTAATTTTTTTTTTCCTTCATGTTATAGCATTTAATTCTTTCTGGAAATTTTTAAGGCTCAGATATTCAGCATATTATTTTCTTGGGGTTGATTTTTGGTCCAGGGATTAATTAGGGGTTTGTTTGAAGCTCTAGGGATTTTTTGGATTTTGATTTTTGCCCCCAATTTGATCATCCCTGACACTTGAAATCCTGAGTGCCCCTTTGAGGAATGTCAAAACTTTACAGACTACAGAAACTGCACAAGCATCATACCAGTGCAAGGATTAGCATTGAGTCAATAGACAGATAATATTATTGTTACATGTAGGTGTGTGTGCCACCATTGTTCAAACAAGTGCC